GTCCACTGCCCCTGTACTCGCTCCCTGTATGTCCACTGCCCCTGTACTCGCTCCCTGTATGTCCACTGCCCCTGTACTCACTCCCTGTAAGTCCACTGCCCCTGTACTCGCTCCCTGTATGTCCACTCACTGTCCACTCAGTGTAATATTAGCCAAAGCATTTTGCATTATATTATGTAATGACATGATAATGAACCTTACAGTTTTGTAAATGTAAAGGAGTATACGAGTTTGCTCTGTGTAGTTTGATTCCTGAATCATCTGACCACTGAGACTGCGTATTTTCATCTATTGGGAGAGGGTCTGATTTGTCCTGTTCTGATAATGCTATTTTCATCAGGTCTATTTTTGAATAGAACACTCTTTCATGTGGTGCATCATGGTACTTATTGCCATGGTTACTTGCCAGCCTGCTGGTCCAGGGTAGCTAATGTACTGCGGGCGAATAAAAGAGTGTGGTATGTACCACCGTTGTTATCCTGCTCTTTCTGAGATCATGTAGTTGTTGTCATTACAGTTCAGCTGAATGACATACTGTCTGAAAGCATACCTGATCCCGTAGAGTACACATACAGTATATAGTACACGAGTAACACAGATGTAGCGCTTTAAAAGCATGCTTTACAGCTCCTGAACGTATGAGCTACTGTATGGAATATATAGCAGGATGCTCACTTTATTACTCGAGTATTTCATTTCTAATCCTTAATGTGAGCTACAGCTCAGAACACATGTGAAGATCTTATCAGAGAGAAGATGAGAGAAAGTGGAGGGGGCTAAGACTTATGGAGAGGCAAGAAATGATCAGATGACAGCTATGATCAGATGAAGAAAGGAAAATGTTTAGAGAGATCACAGCACAGTTACCGGTCATATCTGTGGACACGCAGAGTGAGCCGTGCCTCTGTCCTGTGTGCCGCTGCTCTAGTCTGGTGTTTCATTGTGGTGACTGGAGCAGATGTTTGGTGCTCAGAGCTTTAATCAACATAATTTAATTATCCATAATGCACCACACAGTCTGTCCACTATTCTTCTTATTATTTTTTCCTGATTTGTTTGTGCTTGTGTGTGTGAATGTAAGTGCATTTATGTTTAATGTGCTCAGATCTCTGTCGGGTGCCCAGCTGATTGGTCTGATAAGGCTTAAGCAAAGGTCATTAAAGGTGAAACTCCACATGAGGCAATAGTTTGATACTGCTGTGTGTGTGTGTGTTTGAGTGTGAGTGTGAGTGTGATCTTCCTCCATGGTAGTAGAAATATGTCATTTGTAGGTGTTTCCTCCACAGCGGAGAAGGGAGGGGGGGGGTGATGGGTTCCCCATTTTCTCCCCAATGTGGTCTTGGCAATTCCCACCCACTAGCTAGCTCTCCCCTATCACATGACCTTTACCAACATCTCCTAGCATGTGCTTCCTCCAAGACACGTGAAGCCACCCTCTGCATTTTTTTTCAAAGTGCTGCTCATGCTTTGTCACAGGGCAGCGTAATACACTTGGAGGAAACGATAGGGCAAACGATATTCCGTTGCACCACTCAGCTGTGCTTTTATTTTCAAAAGAGTTTTGCGGTACTGAGGTTAATGTTAAACACTGTGTGTGTGTGTGTGTGTGGCTGGATAGGAGGATTTGGGAAGCAGGAGTATTTTTGGTAGCGCTTTGGGTTTGTTTTTTTCCCCCTTTTTACATAGAGCAAATGCATTAAGCACAAGTCTCATGAACGGGAGCAGCCGAAAGAACGACAGCAATCAAACCAGTTGGCTGTGTTCAATTTCATGTGCTCGGGTTTGTTTTTGTGTAGGCTTCGTCAGGTCCGTCTCTCTCTAATTTACTGATGTAAATAGGCTACCAGTAACAGTCCCTGAGACCTCAGCCTGTGGATCACCTTGAACTTGAGAGGTTGTAAGGATAGATACCAATGAGTAATCAGTTCCTTGGCATCTTTCATGCCGTGGGGCGTGATCAGCGTGATGTAGCGCACTGGGTGCTTCTCCTCCACCATTACCTTCATCTGCGTCCGTCTGCAGAACAAAAAGGAGAGGGAAGTCAGGAGAATGTGAAGGCAGGCCTCCATGCAGTATCGCTTTTCCCTGGCAAAAAGCCTGCCGTCCACTGGACCCGGATCTGGTGCGCCCTGTGATCAGTACCATTTTTGAGTACTGAGGTTAGTGCTAGGCTGGCTCTGACTAATCGGACAGGCTCTCCACTTTTCCCTTGCATGTAAACATCAAAAGCATTTCAGGGCATTTCATATAATCACTGATCTGAAAAATGGTCACCGAATCCCATCTTTAAAAGTTTTTATTTTTATTATTATGGTTATTATTATGATCGTCGGTTTGTTAGTTTATTGACTGTTTAATCTGCAATCTGATCAGACGTGCTGCAATCTGATGTGCCGATTCATTTTATCTTACAGGGCAGCAATGTGGTGGAGGACCAGGACCTTCTGGAGATCGGGATTCTAAACTCGGCACACAGACAGCGCCTTCTGCAGGCCATCCGCCTACTTCCCAGGGTTAGTACACCAGGCAGAGTTCGCACAGAGGCATTAATGCCTCTCACTGTTAAACAAAGCGCAGCGACATTTAAGCATGGCACGCACCATGTATCACCATGAGTAGCTGGAATCATGAAGGTCAGTGTGACGCAGAATGTTTATTCCTTAGCAGACTAGAAATGACCAGATTTAGCACAGAACAGGATTAGCTGAACTTGTCCCTGTAGCCATCAGCATGAAACCACTACAGTGTGTACTTTGGATTTCTATGTGTGTATGTCTTTTACGTGCAGATTGTGTAGAGGCAGGTGTGTTTTTTTTTTTTTATTTGCATATCTATATTGGAATTTTGATGTGTTGTAATCAAACAAGTCAAGTTAAGTAGATTTTATTGTCAGTCCTCTATACAGCTTGTGTGCACTGGAACAAAATGTCCAAGATGGCGGTGTGGTAGTCGCGGTGGCCACTTCTGGTCCAGAAATATGGTGCTATGCTATGCATATTAAACTCACAGTCTACTTTTCTTTAGGCTAAAACTCAGAAAATGAATCAATTTAATAATTTACAGGCCCAGGTGGTATTATACTTTCAAACACTTCTCTCCAGATATGGAACAAATTTGAACATTAGCCATCTGACAAAATCATAACACCCAAGGTTAGTCCAGGATCTGAAAGATAAATTAAGAATCTGTATTTGTCTGGTGAAAGAGCGGTGACAGCGGCAATGCGCTGCGCTGACAAGATACACGTCGCCTGCTGGCATGTGGTCTTCTGCTGTTGTAGCCCATCAGCCTCAGGGTTTGATGTGTTATACAATCTGAGATGCTTTTCAGCTCACCACAGTTGTAAAGAGTGCTTATTTGCATTACCGTAGTCTTCTTGTCAGTTCAAACCAGTCTGGCTGTTCTCTTCGGACTTTTCCGCTCGCAGAACTGCTGCGTTTTGTTTTTCACGCCATTCTGTGTAAACTCTAGAGACTGTTGTGTGTGAAAATCCCAGGAGATCAGCGGTTTCTGAAACACTCAAACTGGTGCCGGCAACCACGCCACTGTCAAAGTCACTGAGATCACTGAGAGCGTTTGCCCCATTCTGATGTTTAATAC